TGAATTTTGGCATCATTAGTTTAACATATGATTTTTAAAATTTTTTTTTGCTTTATCACTTTTTTCAAAAAACAGTTTTTATTGAGTTACGGCCCTTTTCAGTAACCTTTAAAAATTACGTGCAACTAAATAAATGGCTTAAATGAATTAACAAGTACAAAAAATGTCTATAACCTCTATAAATATGATATTACAATCTTCTTCTTAAAGTGCCCTCTCCTCAATGGAGGTTGGCTACTACAATTTTAAACTCTTCTCTATCTTCAGCTGTTCTCATTAGCTGTTCAAAATTTAGCCCTGTCCATTGTCGGATGTTTCTGAACCACGATAGTCTTTTCCTTCCAAGGCCTCTCTTTCCTTTGATTTTTCCTTTCACTATAAGTTGGGCATATTGGTACTTATTATTTCTCAGTATGTGGCCTAGGTATGATGTTTTTCTAACTTTTACTGTGTTGAAAAGTTCTTTTTCCTTGCCTATTATATGCAGCACTTCTTCGTTTGAGGTATGCGATGTCCATGAAATTTTGAGTATTCTCCAGTAGATCCACATTTCAAAGGCCTCCAATTTATTTACGGTTGATGTTTTAAGAATTAATTGAAATGAGGGTGAATGCTCGAATAAATGAACTTTGAAAATAAGGCTATTATCGAGCACAAGTTAATTAAATCTAGCCCAAGTACTTTCGCTTAAAATAGCATCTTCAGGGGCATTTCGTCAAAATGTAAACTATCCGGCAAGCGTAGAATGTGGAAACATTAAAAATGACATAAAATTATAGAAAACACTACACTAAAACGAGGACAAACAGTTTAAAATTACTTAAAGATTCTACGCTACATTCTCTACCAGTATCTGGAGGGATAATCTGGATTATGTGTACACTTTTGTACAAAAGTAAGTTGGATTTAATCAATTTATTTTTGTCCCCGGAATGAGTGATTTAATTTATGACATACCTTTTTTAAACACCCTGTACATTTGTTTTAATGTTGATAAAATACCGTGTTTGACATGATTTTTATAATAATATTCTATAATATATTTTATGAAACAATAATTGAATAAAAGGATTGACTATGCTATTCATAAATATATTGAAAAAAAAAAACAGAAATCTTGCTAAATTAGATGTCTGAACGTATTACACCCATTCGTGAGCGTAAGCAATTTTGTCAGTCCAGAGCAATTTCATCCTGACTTCTCGCCGACGATGACGAACTATGGCAAAGCTATTATAGTGTTCCGTTCTTGGACGTTAACCTTTAAATTGCCCTACAATGGGTATCAATAAAGATGACTATATAGGAACTGACCTAAGCAAATCGATACAACAGGTACGGATTTATTATTGATGCGGTTCCAAACACAAAATGATTAGGGTGAAACGACCAATTGGAGAATTATTACGCTAATGGGGTGTTTACATTTATATGATTACTCGTTTTTTTTAAATTATGTACAAACTTTTTGTTTTTGTTTTAACTCTTTGTTTATTTACATATGTTATTTTTCTCATCTGGTCTGCTAAGAAGGGCCAGAGCACAAAATCTACGAAATATAATACTGATGTGCTAAAATCTGAAGACGCTAGGACTAGCTACAGGAAAATTTTAAATGAAGAGATTTGAGGAAAATTTATGTATAGAAGAACACTGGACCAAATGCAAGGAAGCTATCCATACAGCGGCTAAAGGCTTTTTAAAACTTAACCAGGCTAAAATAAACGAAGATTAGTTTGACGAATAATGTAGATCTATTAACCAACAAAAAATGAAGCATATAAGAGACTTCAGCAGCGCAGAACAAGATCAAATCTGGAAGACTATGAAAATCTTAGACGAGAAGAATAAGGACGTTTAGAAGAAAAAACAAAGAGCCAGACGAAATCGCTCTAAACCACAGTTTTCACTGTATTCCTTCACTCAACCGTTTTCTCCAATTTTTCCTGTTTAGCCAGTCCTCTTACTGTGGGTTTCTTCTTCTCATTGCTTCGTTTACTTCATCTCTGAAAGATCTTCGGGGTCTGCCTCTCTTTCTTCTTCCTATCGGGCTCCACTCTGTTATTCTATTTATCCACCGATTTTGGCCTGCTCTTCTGACATGTCCGTACCAGGTTAACCTCCTCTGTTCGATGTAGTCTATTATGTCAGAGTTCATTACCATTCTCCTCTTAATCTCCATGTTATTTATTCTATCTCTTCTTGTTACTCTGCAGCTTCTCCTTAGGAATTCCATCTCTGTTGCTCTTATTTTGTTTTTGGTATTCTTAGTTATTGTTCAATTTTCACACCCATAAATGAGGATACTTCTTGTCATGGTATTATATATTTTTTTCTTTGTTTTCATGCTGATGTTCTTATCCCATAGTACCGAGTTCAATTTTCGTATGCAGTCTCTTGTTTGTCTTAGTCTATTTTTATATCTTCCTCCGTTGTTCCTTTGCTGATATTATGAAACCTAAATACTTATACTTGTCTGTTCCTTTGATTTGTTTACCTTCGTCTATTTCCAGCTGTTTTATTTCTGTATTCTCCATTGTTAGGTATTCAGTTCTCTTTAGTTTTATTTCCATCCCATTCTTTCTATATTCTTGCTCTAGTTTTCTCATCATAAAACTGAGGTCATCCTCGTCTTGTGCTATCACTATTTGGTCGCCAGCAAAACTTGGCGTATATAGATATTCGTTCCTTACTGGTATACCCATTCCTTCGCACTTTCTTTTCCATTGTTTCAGGTTTTTTTCCAGGAATATTTTGAACAGGGTGGGGATGTGGAGCAATCCTTGTAGTAGTCCCTTTGTCGTTTTAAATGGACTGCATATTCTATTGCCCGTTTTGATAGCTACTTCGTTATTCTTGTAGAGTGCTTTTACCGCGTTTATTAATCTTCGTGGAACTTTGATGTCTTCCATTGCTTCCCATAGCTTGGTTCTAGGTATTAAGTCATATGCCTTCTTAAGATCAACAAAAGCCAGATGGACGGATCTATTTTTGGCCATTTTTTTTTCTATTAGTTGTTCGACCGTGTATGTGATCTAAGCATGCTTTCCACGCTGTGAAACCTGCCTGGTCTTCTCCGATTTTATCTTGTATATTTATTTCTAATTTTTCCTTTATGGTCTTTCCATACAGTCTGCCTATAAACGATATAATGCTGATTCCCCGATAGTTTTCGCAGTTTTTTCTACCTTCAACCTAACGTTGTAAATTGTATTAAATTAGCACGCCTTTGATGAATAGGACATGTAATTAGGCGAGATAAAGATGCAATGAAGACGAGCTTGGGAACGTGGAAAGACGAGCCAAGGAAGACCAAAACTTAGGTATCTAGATAACATAGAGCAGGAGTCACCAAATGGCGGACCGCGGTCCGCATCCGGACCGTGAGCTTATTTTTTGCGGACCGCCGTTAAATTCAAAATATAGTAATAAAATTATAGTGTAAAATTATAATCAAATGTAAAAATATAAATATCTATACAATTTTGAAAGACACAATACTAATACTATATAGAAATAGTCGTAATCTAAACAATATGTTTCGACTAAACGGTTTTCCAAAATTTCAGGATGTTATCAAATACCTAAATATCGAAGGCAAACATCGACCATTGGGCAAAGAAGTACGATGTTTATCAATCATCAATGAATATCTTGCATCCCTAGTCTCAGTCTCAGTTTTGCTTGTCGCATCGTAGTCTTAGAAATGTGGACATTCTGAGTGTTTTTTACGTTTTTATTTTTTTATCGTGTTTCTAGTTAATACTTCTAAGTGTTGTTTTTGTTAAAGACTATAGTTGCAGAAAGAAAACAACCAGAAACAGTAGCAATAAATAATTAAATTAAGTTCTAAGATACAAATACTTTAAATTAGGTCGAAAAAATTTATTTAACAAAGACGGGAGAAAAAAATAGTATAACAGCTTTATAATCATCTTTTCCTTGAGTTTATTTCATACCCCTCCCTCAACGAGATGGCCTAGTTGCCTGGTTTTAACTACGTAACCAGGATGATCCTGAGGAGGGGTTACAACTACTGGAGGGTTTTTGGGTAACCTCCACTCTCCCGGTTTCACCACTGCCTTTTTAGTGCTGAGTGTCCAGACCGCAGAAGTCCAGTAGATTTTCAAAATGGACCCTCAGGCAATTAAATTGGTGACTCCTGACATAGAGGATGATCTAAAATCCATCAGACTTAAAGGATGGAGAAGGGTTGCCAGAGACAGGGGCGAATGGAAGATTGTTCTGAAGAAGACTTTGGCTCATAGCGAGCTGTAATATCACTAATGATGATGATTTTTCTCATTTACTAACATCCGCATCTTTTCCGATGCGGCCTCTTCGCATACATATAACAGAGTAATTGTTATCGGAATAACGAAGAATTAGTTCTATCTAGTTGTTTGGTCAGATCTGGTCTTCCGTACTTTAGGAGATCGTTCGGCGTTCTGTCGTCTCCTGGTGATTTTCTATTTTCCTTTACCTCTTCCTCCTTTACCTCTGTTGTAATCTTCTGTCATAAAACTAGCTTATTTTCTTGTGGCATTTTAAATTAATTACTATTTAACTGGGAATAAGCCACAATTAACGATAAAAATATGTTTATTGACGTTTTAATTTCCACTTCGAAAATAACATTTTGAGAACGATTTCCGAAGTGGAAATTGAAACGTCAATAAACCTATTTTTATTTTTAATTGTGGCTTATTCCCAGTTAAATAGTAATTAAAACTAGCTTATGATGCATTTTCAAATAAAGCATAAAACATTTTAATAAATGTCAGATAGTACACTTGAAATAGGTATGTTAAACTGCAAAGTAAATTATTTAGCAATATCTACTTAAAAAATAATAATAGTTTAGAGGTAACAATTTTTTTTTGTTTCAGTAAACCATAATGGAAGCAACTGTGATTCTTTCAAGGACTTATTCATCAAAAATCGTTCCTTATAAAACAAATTTTAGAAGCCCCCGATTCAAAACAAGTCATGAGCGTAAGATGAACGTGGATTTTAACCATACCTTATCAAATTTCACCGACATAAAGCCAAATTTTACGTACACAACTGAAACGAACATGTCATATTGGAACCAAAGTGACTTTTTTCATAACCTGACCAATAATTCTGAATTAGAATACGATTATCAAACTTTAAATAGTACAGCCAAGGAAGATTTGTGGACTAGTTGTAAGGAATGGACTCCCGCACAACACAATCTCTTCCAGACTGCTAATTTCTTCTTTGCCGCTGCTTTTCTCGTTCCAGGAAGTTTTAAACAAAGCGTTCTGTTAGTTAGGTAAGATCAATTCGTCAATAAAATATTTTAATATTAATATACACTACAGATGAACTCAGTTGGTCTGTGTCGTTTTAACTGACAAGAACCACGTCTTACTTCTCATTTAGTCGATGTGAAGATTCGCCATTGTATGCTACTACTCGTGACGACGCCATCTTGTGGCGCTAGTTCCGTGACACTCGCTTCAGCATTTTACTATAAAAAAAAAAGTAAAATACAACGCCAGTCTAGAAGCTTCGCTTTAAAAACGTAAACATGTAAATTGATGATGATACATTTTGCTTGCAAATACTTGCATTTTAACCTAATTTTTATATCTTATATTGACCGTAGGGCCCTTTTGTCAATTGGTTACTTTTTTCTTACGATATGGGGTGGCGTAGAGATTTGTGCCCCAGATATTTTACTATGGAATCTAATAATTGTGATATTAAATGCAGGCCACACCGCCTTACTCACGTGGAAATTTCTGCCTCCGACACTAACTTTGGAATTGACAGATTTATATCTTAAGGTAAGTCAAAAATCTGATTTCTTGTTCTCTATAAATATTCTCTACAGTCTGTTCGATAGTTAAGTGATCTTATACACAGAAATAGTACAAATTTTAAAGAATCTTCTTTAGCATTCTATGGAATTATCTTTTGAATTTTTTTCGTAATTTTTTGCTGTTTTCGTAAGAATTTTTATGGAATTATTTAGGTCAATTAGTATTATAAAATGAGATTATAAAATTCTCATATAAAAAATGAGAAGGCCATGGGACCCGATGAAATACCTACAGAAATCTTAAGAATATTAACAAAAAATTATATGTGCACACTAATAGAATTATTTATTGACATTTATTATATGGGAGATATTTCAAAAGAATGGTTAATATCAATATTCATTAAAATACCCAAAAAATCAAATGCAATGAAGTATGAAGGGCACAGGACAATTAGCTTGATGAACCATATAGATATCTGACACATAGATAGAATAGCTGAAAACCAATTGGGATTTAGAAAAGGCTTTGGCAACAGATAAGCATTATTTACTATACAAAAACTAATCGAACAATACCGAGATGTCAATTGCGACAAAGACAAAGATATGAAAATCATTGCCAATCTATACCAATATCTGAAAGCCATAATACGAATAGACCAACAAAAATCGAAAGAAAGACCTCGAAATCGTGGAGTAAGACAAGGATGTGTGCTATCTCCTTTACTTTTTAATATGTATTCAGAAGAGCTGTTTAAAAAAGAGGCATTAGAAGACGTAAATGAAGGCATATTTATTAACGGAGCACTTCTGAATAATCTTAGATACGCAGATGATACAATACTCCTTGCGGACAGCAGAGAAGGACTGCAGATCTTGGTTGATCGCATTACCCAATACTGCGAAAGGTATGGAATGGCAATGAATACAAATAAAACAAAAATCATGGTGATAAGCAAGAACAAGATTGAGGAAGACAGGGTTTATGCTAAAGGAAAACTTTTAGGCAGAGTGCAGAGATATCAGTACTTAGGTTGCGAGCTAAATGAAGAATGGGATAGAAGTACAGAAATAAAACGGCATGTTGAGATAGCTAGAAGTGTTTTTAATAAGATGTAAGCAATATTATGCAATGGAAAACAACATTGAAATTAGAACTAGAGTATTGAGATGCTACGTGTTCTCTGTCCTGTTGTATGGAGTTGAGGACTGCTCAATTACAGAGGAGACAGAAAAAAGACTTTGACTCCATATTTGCTCTCTCCAAAATGGTACCCATTTTGAAAAGAGCAAATACCCAAACTACATAAAAAGGTTTTAAATAGTGTAGTTTGGGATGTTCTCTTTGGTGTTGATAACCCAGACACTTGCCACTTTCTTTAAATTGAACTTCAGTTAGTTTCTCCTGTTTCATAAAGCTGATGATTACAGTTGTCGAAATGCATCTTGGATTTTATTAAATAAATATTGTTTTTATGATTAAAAAGTTATTAAAAAGAATGCTAGTATTACGATAGTTTCTTACAATTATTAACCAACAAAAACTAAGAGTATTTGATGAAATGTATGCAGTTTTCCTTGTTAACCTACAAACTTCGTATATCCATTAAAAAATAATTTAACTAAAGATGATTAAAACCAAAGTTGTAGCGATTTTAAAAGATCTTGATAAACTGTCAAGTAATTTCGCAAGTTGCTATCTATCACACGGAACGTTAAAGGAGAATGAAATTAAGCTAAAATGAAAGGTTTCCGATTAAGGCATCTTCAAGATAACACATTTTATGAACCACACCTTGTAGCGTGTGGCATACACGACTGAAATGGTAGATAACTGTAAAATACGGAAACACACTTTGAAAAAGATTTAACATTACACATTTTAACAAAGATTTAAAACAAAGCTTATATGTAGATAGTACGAATGTTTTAAAATGAACTCATAAGGTAAAAACCTACTTCGTCTTCTTCATCATACCAGATTTTAGCTAATTAGACATTTCAGTGTATTTTTTTTTTCATTTTGCCACGAATCTTTAATTGATTTGAATTTTTTGTAGGTTTTTAAACCGCTTAGGGTGAGTAAAAAACATTTTAAAGAATTAGTCAGAGAAGCCAAAGTAATGAACTTAGAAGAAGGTGATATTTATGCTGTAGAAGATGTCAGTCCTGCAGATGAAAGACTATCAATTTTGCTCAAAGGAAGGTAAGCATGTACGCCCTAGTGAGTATGCAACACACTAGGCACGTCAAATACTAATATATTCTATACCTTGACAAGAAATTGAAGAGGGCTACTTAAAAATAAAATGTAACTTGATTTGCTAATTGTACAAGGTATAAATCAAATACCCCGTTTACTATTAAGTAAATCAAAATAATATAGGTTTATAATATTTTAATAGCGTTCCGTACATTTTAATATGTAATGTAATGCAGTCCCACAACAGATGTATTCACGATGCATTTTATCATTTCTTGGTCTTGTTGAAGCAAAAATAAGTAAATACAACTCAAGTTTTCCACATCTTTCTTACAGTTCATAAAAAACTACAGTTATGAATGTAGCACACTTCTCTAAAATTTCTTTTGAATTGGTTGTCCACCTTTTTTAGTACTTCCACATTGTCATAGTTGGCAGTCTCTAGTATTCTTAATATGTTAGCTAAAAGCTGAGCTTGTAGGTTTCCTCACAATATCACTCTTGTGCAAAGCTATTCTTTTTGATAGTTTGTGGCAGGTTTGACCGATATACACTTCCGAACAGAAACCACATAGAATAGAATACATTACATTGAAGTTATCCAGTTTTTTAACTCTTTCTGTCAGGTGAGTGAAGTATGTCCCTAATCTTTTATACATTGAATTGGTTATCACTATGTTAAACTGTCTGAAAAGAAAATTTCACATTTAGAATAAAGTTCTTCACCAAACGGGCTTACACCATCTTTAATCAATCCAAGAGAAATAACGACAATATTTACCCCCCAACAAAAACTTTTATCTATTTTTCGATCAATTAAAGCGAACATTCCAAATAAACAACACAGGGTTTACGAAATTCCTTGTGTAGACTACCCTCGATCCTATAGAGGCCAAACAAATCGTAGAATCCAAAATAGGATTCATGAACATTCCATTTCTGTTCGCAATTCCGAGTCAATTTCAGTTCTAGATCATCGCCATCTTCATCCAGGTCCTAAAATTGATTTTAAAAACTCCATAAGTATAGCCCCCATCCGCTTCCTAACCAATAATTATCTGAGAAGCCATTGAAATTGAAAAAAAGGTCAAATTATCGTACTAAAAGAGATGACGGCATAAGGCAATCCCCACACGAATCCCCGCGCAAATCTCCAGGATAACCCCCAGGCCAACCTTCACCCAAACCGCTTTACCATCGACGTTATAAATGGTCCGTCCTTTGTTCGCATTAAGAAGTAATACATTGGTTAATTATCAGTGTAGTTGCGTCTGGGGGCTCGGGAGACTAAGACCTCGGAAGCCCCGAAGAAGACATCAAAGAGGATGTCGAAAGCTCGGCGCGGTTCAACCCGGAAGACTGTTAAGTTTAATAATAATCGTGTAATAAAGATTAATACTATTACTAGAATCATCATTTAACTCAACAGTTTTCTGCATCTCAACTTTCTACATCCTCTCTTATCTCTTCTGCAGGGTTTCTGAGGTACAAGCCATTGTCTTCAATTTAGTGCTTTTAGAATCCATGTATAATCAATAGATTACCCATGATTACGTTTTAGATAAAATCTTTCGAGGTTCGGAACAATTTCAATTTTGCAATAACTATTGAAACTAGTGAAACCTCTTGAAAATTTTATAGCTAAATATTTGTGATATTTTCAACATTCTCAGGCAAAATTAAAGTTTTTTGTGAGAAGTTTTTGGAAAAGTTATTAACAATTTTCAAACAATCTACTTTTAAAGCTATTTTTGCAATAATTAAGCAACAAATTAACAAAAGTAATTTTACAAACTGATTTTTTAAATCTGCTGTTCAATGTTTACGCTGGAAAGATATTTCAGAAAGCTTTGGAAGGCACCTCGGATGGTATAATTATAAACGGGCAATGTATAAATAACCTGCGATATGCTGATGACACTGTCATACTGGCCGATAATGCTGAAGCCCTGCAACGCTTAATGGACCGAGTAACGACAGCCTGTAGAGAATTTGGAATGAAATTGAATACAAAGAAGACAAAAACGATGGTCATCAGCAAGCACCAAAACAGAAGGGTGAAGGTCAATGTCGACGGAACACATCTGGAAAGAATAACAAGAACAACGTACCTTGGAAGTAATCTTGATGAAACTTGGGACCACTCACTAGAGATAAGAATACGCCTGGAAAAGGCACGTAGAATGTTCTACAAAATGCAAAAAGTTGTATGCAACCGCCAGCTGGGCATCTCATTGAGAACTAGAATACTTAAGTGCTTTGTTTTCTCCACCTTGCTCTATGGTGTTGAAGCCTGGACAATGACAGAAGCAACACAAAAAAGAATCCAAGCATTCGAACTCTGGTGTTACCGTAAAATGCTCAGAATATCCTACATGAGCCATACGACAAATGCGGAAGTCTTGCGGAGGATGAATAAGGAAAGAGAGCTTATGATTATAATAAAAGAACTAAAAACACAATATTTTGGTCACCTCATAAGACATCAAAAGTATGAACTGCTCTAACTTAAAATCGAAGGCAAAGTCAATAGCAAAAGTGGACCAGGAAGAAGACGCAACTCTTGGCTTAAAAACCTACGGCAATGGACGAACATGACCTCCATAGAACTATTCAGGGCTGTTACAAATAAGATTAAATGAGCAAATGTAATGGCCAACGTCCTTAAGGATAAGGCACAAGAAAGATATGCACAAGGCATAAGAAAATTTGGAAAAAATCATCAATGGGGGTACCCTTGGATGTTTTTTCAAATTTCGTTATTCGTTATTAAGAAGTTTTTTTAAAGGATTTTCTATGCTTTTTCAGATAAATTGTGTCACTTTTCCATATAATTTACCAGTCTTCATCTTTTGTATTTAAAACCTAATAGTGATCTTACATTGTTCATATATTGTTTATAAGTAAAAAAAGACATTTTATTTTTTGCATATTTTTTGCTATCTATTGCTATCACCAAATGTATCAAAAGCAGTTGTTAGATACCTGTATCACCGAGTATCACCAAAAACCCTTCTTTTGTGCTAATTTCTTTGGTCTACGTGTGCCAGAAACTATGTCGTATTGATAACTTATTAAAATTTTATAGCTAGGACTAAAACATCTGTAAATCACAAATAAATTATTATATCAACCGAAAATGTATTTTCTAATTAATTATTTAAAAATAAATTTCTTTAAATTAGTTTAGGTTGGTACGCTGTAATTAAATCCCCTTATCTTTTAATATTTAAAAGACACGAAGCTGTGTCCCAATTCACGTGTTTCCATTAAGACACTAATTAGAAATTATAATTAGGAAATTAGGGGATAAGAGTTGCGTTTTTTTTATTGATTGATTTCCATGTATTTACAATATTCAGTGAGTTTTGAGCAAAGTTTTTATTTTATTATAAAAACAGCAATAATTTTATCGGTTTTATAAACTGATACATACTCACTTTTGTAGATTAAGAGTTACTTGCGATGATACCCATTTGCATTTTATAAATATGCACCAGTTTGTGGATTCTCCAGAATGGGAAGCAAATCACGAACAATCAGATGACGTTTTCCAGGTGACGATTACTGCAGAAGAGGACAGTGTCTATCTTTGCTGGCCTAGGATGAAATTAGAGAGAGTTTTAAGGCATAGACCGATGTTGAAAACTGTATTGGACAGTATTATAGGTAAGGTATAAGATGTGTCAGATATTTTGCAGTTTCCGTAAAAAATTTTCTACTCGACCGTTGATGATTGAAATAATGTCTCGTGGTTTTATTATTTGTATAAAATTAACATTTTAATGTTATTACACAATACAGGGTGCTGAATCGTCAAACGAACCATAGGAAATTCAATGGGAAATTCTGAATTGTTGAATTCCTGCTTCCCTAATTAGTTTACATCAAAACTCATAAGAAACTATTTGTAGAGAACTGAAATATGTATTAAAAACACATGTTAAAATTGTTCTACGAATTAAATGTATTCCAAAATTGTGTAAAAATATAATATATTTTCCAGGCAACCCCTTAAATTCAGGCCACACGAGGTACAAGAATGTGTATGATATGTTGCGTATTTCACAATATTTGAATTTCCAAAATTTTAATTTTGTGATTTATTGTTTAAAAAACAATACCTATAGTTGATTAAAAAATATATTCAATTGAGGAGAAACTAGCAATAATAAAAATGTTTTATCAGGCAATAGTGCGCGAATTGTCAGTTCTTTATTTAAGCGTAAGATATTCCAATAAACCAATTCAAAGTCATTCAACAATTCAAAGGATTTTACAAAATTTTGAAAATAATGGGACCATGATTTTTAATTGTACCTGTACAAACAATATTGCCGAGGTACCAAACAATTTAGAAAAACAAAATGAAATAAATGTATTAACAGCAGTTGTAGAAAATCCTAAGATAAGTTCTAAGACCATTGCAGACCAGTTTAATATTTATAATTCTACGGCCTTAAAAGTTTTGAAAAGGAATAAATTCCGTTCATATGAACTGAATACATTTCATCAATTTTATTGCTTTGTAAACACTACTATAGTAGTAGTAGTATATTGTCAAATATCAGATTCATCAATATGACCAAACGCATCATTTCATACACATTATTGTACCTCGTGTGGCCTGACTTTAAGGGGTGGCCTGAAAAATGTATTATATATTTACAAAGTTTTGAAACACATTTAATTCATTGAACAAGTTTAACATTTGTTTTTAATACATATTTCAGTCCTCTACAAATAGTTTCTTGTGACTTTTGATGTAAAACAGTTAGGGAAGCAGGAATTCAACAATTTAGAATTTTCCATTGAATTTCCTATGTCCTATGGCGATTCCCCACCCGGTATACAGTCGACCTAACGAAGCTTTAGACTTTCTATTGAATCTTTTTAATACAATCTGGTGTAAACAAAAATTTCCTTACTTCCTGACCTATGGAGACAAGCTATTGTCATCCCTATACTAAAAGATAATAAATAATAGACTTATGTGGCATTTGGCACATCACAATTTACTTATACCGGAACAAGCTGGATTTCGTCCTTTGAGATCTACTATAGACAATGTTTTACGTTAAGAAAGTCAAATTAATGAAGCCTTCTGTAACAAACAGAAATGCATAGCTGTTTACTTTGACATCCACAAAGCATTTGACTTACCATGGCGACACAGAATATTAACAAAGCTGCAAGCTTGGGGAATTCAATGGAACATGTTGGCATTTTTAAATAACTTTCTAAATGAACGCAAATTTTTAGTACGTAGTAACGGAGAACTTTCTAGTATTAAGTCTCAAGACAATGGAACACCACAAGGATCTGTAATTAGCTCTACACTTTTTTTAATAGCAATGAACGATGTTATAAAAAATCTCAAGAAACCTGCACAGGCTAGATTATAAGCTGATGATATGATAATGTTTATCAGAGGAAAAAATATTAACTCGATGGTCAAACTTTTACAAGAAGAATTAAATAAAATCGAAAGTTGGTCTAATAGGAGTGGAGTATAATGTTAGCACTTATTGGCACTTTTTTTTAGGTGGTTATAATGTCATGAGCATTTACACAAAGTTCCATTGGTTAGAAAGATAATTGTGAATTAGAATTGCATAAGGGTGGCCGCATACAGAAAGAGCAAAACTGTTTTAGACAAAAACGTTTTTGACTAAACGAGTCTGATGCTGATGTTTCCTTATAAATGAAATGAGCTGACGCATACTGATTAGTCGTGTGTCTAAAGCATGTTTAAGCTCATTTAGTTTCAGTCAGTCTGTTTGATGTTATAAAATAAAAAATAAAAATAAAAACATTTATTGCCCTAATAATATATACATGTCATAACTTAAAAAATTTCAGCCTTCTTTCTTCCTGATGTTCCGCTTTTGCACCATCTTCTTCTGATTTGTTTTCCTCTCGGCATCCTGAACTTCTCTGGGCGGTTTCCTCGTCTTTTTCTGTAGGTACTTTTTATGGCATCGTACCTACTTCCCTTGTTTGATGTTGATTACTGGATTGTCGTTTTATATCAAAACATTTCAATGTACGCAGGCGCAACGTGTTTTTGGAATTCCCTAAGGGTGGCCGCACACAGAAAGAGCAAATCTGTTTTAGTCAAAAACGTTTTTGACTAAACGAGTTTGATGCTGATGTTTTCATATAAATGAAATGAGCTGACGCACACTGATTAGTCGTATGTCTAAAGCATGTTTAGGCTCATTTAGTTTCAGTCAGTCTGTTTGATGTTGATTACCTGATCGTCGTTTTGTCTCGAAACATTTCAATGTACGCAGGCGCAACGTGTTTTTGGAATTCCCTTTTTGAAACCGCTCGAATAGTCAACAAGGAGCACATGTGAAAACAGCGATATTTTGTTTTTTCGTCTTGTAGGAGGAACCACTGCCAGAAAACTAGTGCAATTTCGTCGTTATCTGTCGACATCTTTAATAAAACTGATTGCAGTATGGTTTGTGCAAACAGTTTGTTTCTCTTGAAAACAAAATGTTTTTTGTGGAAATAAAAACGTTTACGTTTCAAACAAAAACGTTTTTGACTAAAACAGTTTTGCTCTTTCTGTGTGCGGCCACCCTTATTAAAACCGCTCGAGTAGTGAACAAGAAGTATTCTTTTATTTTGCGTTTTTTCGTCCTGTAGGAGGACCAACTGTCAGAAAACTAGTGCAATTTCGTTGTTATCTGTCAACATTTTTAATAAAACTGATTGCAGTATGGTTTGTGAAAATATTTTATTTCTCTTGAAAACAAAATGTTTCTTGTGGAACAAAAACGTTTACGTTTCAAACAAAAACGTTTTTGACTAAATCAGTTTTGCTCTTTCTGTGTGCGGCCACCCTTAAATACAATTGTTATTGCCTTTTGTTGTCTTTTTGGAAATATACCTAGTTTTCCGGTTATTAGGTCGTATCCAGAGGCATTTTTAGGATTGATTTTTGTTCATTGTCACATTAGAGATTTTTTTAAAGTTACGTGTAAGTTACAATTAAATCATTTAAAACATGTTACTTTTTCAGGTAAAGATATCACACAAAAGCTTTATGCCCTGAATGAGCATTTAAGCGGACTAAGTGAGCGACGAGAACGAGGTAATAGGGACAAACTGTGGGCTAGAACGCAAAGCCGCAGTATGTCTATGGATGCTGTGAACACTGGGACGACTGGCTTAGTTAGATCTCAGGCTTACAAGTTAACGCAGAAAAACACAAATAGTAAGTACCAGAATCATTATGTTAAATATTATGTTTTTTATGGAATTCATCCACAATTATTGGTTGTGGTTGTGATGAAAATCACATTTTTAATTAACTAATATTTTAGCTTCATTATTGAAGTTTCACAACCTTGACAGAATCATTAAAAATTAAAATGATATGTATGTAGTTAAGTAGTAAAGCAGTAAAACAGTATTGTTACCTGGGAACTATTATTAACGAACAGTGGAGCAATTTACAGGAAATAAAGTGCCGCATAGGAAAGGCAAGAACGGTCTTTAACAAAATGAGCGCCATCTTCAAAAGTCACAACATATCCCTTGATACAAAAATGAGACATTTGAGATGCTATGTTTTCTCTGTGTTGTTGTACGGGGCGGAGGCATGGACGCTTACAGACACCACTATTAAAAAACTTGAAGCATTTGAGATGTGACTTTATAGAAGAATGCTGAGAATATCATGGACAGCAAGGATCATGAACAAGGAAGTTCTAGGAAAAATGAAGAAGGAACCAGAGATTGTGTTTACGATCAAACGCATAAAATTGCAATATCTGGGACACGTTATGAGAAATCAACACCGTTACTCCCTGCTACAGTCTATATTGCAAGGTAAAGTCAAAGGTAAGCGAGGACCCGGTAGAAGGAGAATATCATGGCTGCGGAATTTAAGAACATGGTTTAAGAAAACCTCAACGGAGCTGTTTCGAGCCGCAGGCGAGCAAGGTTATGATTGCCAATATGATTTCCAACATCCGAAACAGATAGGAACCAGAAGAAGAAGAAAAATGTATGTTAGTTGTTATATTGTTATTTTCTAAGTGTTAATAGGTATATGTTTTTCTCTTATCTTCATAGTACCGTAATTTTGTTTCATTAAACCCAATAAAATGTTTTTATAGATTCCTTAGGAAGACTAGAAACGCAAAGTTGGGTGCCTCTAGTAGCCAAACAATTTCCTGCTAAATCTCCATTCAATCCACAAAGTTCATCAACGAGTTTGCGTATTCCCGAAGTACACACCACTCCCAGTAGAAGTCGTTCTTTAAAAAAACCCAGAGAAGTCAAATTCGAAACGAAGAAAAAATAATTACACAACTATATTAGGTGCGTATCTGCAAAAGGTTGACGACTTTTTATATTTGTATAATTTTTGGTACTGGAAAATGTGTTGTAATTGTAACAATTTTTGTTTTTAGCTGTCTTGTTTTAAAGCTTTTTCTCCAAAAAACAACTGTAGAGCAAAGTGCCCTAATATCGGATACTTTTTTTTAACCCTAATATTAATTTTAATACGTCAATTAATTTATAAATATTTTAGAGCAAAACAAGTAATAGACTATAGAGAATCATTTATTTAACAAAAATCAATCCTTTCTATGAAGTAAAAAATAAAGTTTAATTTTTTATATAAAACGGTAAATTTAGACTGATAAAAAAAATGTTCCTAATACCGGATATTAGGATAACGGGATAAAATTAGCCATCGAGGCAGAAATCACAAATATATGTGTCTTTTTTGTCTACATTTGTGCAGTAGGTGTGAGCCCACTTAAAACACTTTGAGCACTGAATCCACTGTTCGTCCGAGGTATCTTCAGAGAAGAGTCCAGTACAAAACATATATTCTGCTTCCTCTTCCCCAATGTCACACTCCATGTCACAATCATCATCTAAAATGAATTCTTCATCTTCTTCAGATAAGCTTCCTCATTCTTAGCACTTTTCTTTTTAACCTTGGTTGCCATTGTCTTTTAGGAATAAATTGTCCTTTATTTTTATTTGTTTTCTGAAAAGGCTCACATTTGTCTATTTTTAATTTCGGAATCACCCGTGAAATACTTTTATTTCTCTTCTGTTTTGATAAACTATTTTCTAAAGCATCTTTGTACTTTCTTTAATACTAGACTTGTAAAGTGAAGTCGCAAATGAAGAATGTCTTGTGGCCGCACTGTTGAATCTCTATTATTAGAAATGTTCTTACATGATAAAGCTTCCATTATTACTTCTTGGAAGAGTTACATGCTTCGGGGGAGTTACTTTGTTTTCTTGTTCAGCCTCTGGTAGATTTGGAACTGGAACTTGTAACGGAAATATTTTGCCTACCACAGGGGGCATTAATATAAGGGGTAGAAAATTGGGGGAAGAAACTAAGGGGGTGGAGATAAGGCAAGCAAAATAATCGCTACTGATGCGAACGGCACTCAGGGTTTCGTAGGAGAGCTGGGGTCGTGGATAAGTAAAAGATAGGGGCATTGGAATGGGGCAACTACAAAAAAATGAAAGAAAGGGCTCTTGGGATAAACAAAATCAAAATAAACAAGAAACACCTCAAGGAATTTAATATAGGGCGCCACTTGAGGTGCCTAATTATGCCTATTACAACCATTAGTTGTAACTAGGGAAATAATTAGAAAATAAAATCAAAACATAAAAAACATATCTTTTTCAAATAAACTCAAAAAGGGTTAGCTCAAAAAAAATAAATAAAAAGTTAGGAAAATAAAATTCAACTTTTATTTATGTGTCACCACAAACAGTTACATGGAAAAATACAAAATTCAAAAACTTACATGTGTCATCCATTAACAAACTCCATTGCTACAGAACTTACAAAATTGCATGGAGGTTAACCTTTTAAAACAAAACAAAACAAATCAACATCAAAAATACTAAAACGAGCTGTCATAAATTAACATTAAATTTCAAAAAAACTAAACACAAATTGACAGCTTTACTCAAAACCTAAAATTTACAATTTTAAATGTCAACGAAAGCAATTATTATTTTATAAAAAAATGTCTGTCTTTAGCTTAAAATTTGAACAAAATGTTACCTTAATTCACATGATCACACTTAACTTTTTGAAACCATAACTGGAACCTGGAACTGAGGGCTCCACTCTCTCTGCATGACGAAAACCTCCATCTCCAAAACTGTCAAAAGCCTTGGATAAAAACAGGAACAAAAAAAAACAAAACAAGGATGTCCTCCAATCCTCACTCAAAACATTAATAATTGAAGCATTTACTGCCACAAAACAGATAACAAACTGCTACATTTTCTTCATAACAAAAGACGAAAATAGAATACTTTACAAATTCGACGTGAATTTGGACATAACGTTGAACCACTCTTGAAAGCTGCTACAACGAGAGTGAAGAAATTCTATTAAAATTGAACGCATACATAAAAACGCTGACATAACAAGACACCACGAAACGACGTACATATCCTTTTGCGACGCATTAACTTGAAAAGAAATTGCCGAAGTAAAATAAACAACTCTAAAATGGTTTATTTCAACTTGGCCGACCTAAGAAAGAAATGAAAAGATATTTGGGTTTAAATACGTACGAAATATTTTTAGATCTATCAAAAATATATAAGGTGATTTTAATATTTCGTATACGAGGGGACTTTAATATACTTCAAAGAATCAATGAAATTGAAAATGCTACAAACTCGGTCACCTTCCGCTTGATGGTGAATGGCAAAGTCGTGTTCTCGAAAAATGTGTTTATTAAATGGGCAGATACCGCTCTTTCGAAAACCATTTATAGCGATTGTAGCTACAGCACATCTTACATAAGCTCTTCCAAGCAATTTGCAAACTTGATAGCAGATGACTACTCTTCCAGGGTTGTTCCTTACTCAATTTTCAATTTCCTTGGATCAGCTCACTTGGTTTAACGTGACTGATAAAATGTTGTTTTCGTAACCAATTGGTGAAAATGTGACTCTCAATCCAGACAGACACATGGCAGGCAGCTATTCATATTTGTTCCTTCCTATTTTTTCGGGAAAATATGACCATAGGGGGCACAAAACCAACAGCCGAATTCATACAGGTAACCACAGTCACTAGTGACCCTCTTTCTGCAGAAGTAATACTTGCTTTTTACCTTTTAAGGTGATTATTTTGGTATGTTTTGATTGTACAGACGGTATACCTGTCTGTTGTACATTATAGATTCAACAGGGATTAAATTTCACCTTCTCCATCGCAGGTTCCAAAATTTCAAAAAAATTATTTACGTTTTTTTCTGATATATATAACAAGCGAGTCTTCTACAGCTGGCGCCGCTTCTCGCATCCTAATTTCCAGCGTTTTCTATCGAAGCAATCTTCAGTTGTTAGATCTCTGGCGGTCATTGCATCGTCGACATCGGCTCTCCAGGATCGTCTTGGTCTACCTCGTTTTCTTCTAGTTGGCGGAGTCCATTCTTCTATTTTTTTTGGCCATCTATTTTCCGGCATTCTCTGAAGGTGTCCATACCAGTTAAGTCTTTTGGCTTCGATTGTGTCTATTATGTCTAGATCGATTTCCATTTCTCTCCGAATATCTTCGTTTCTAACCCTATCAAGTCTAGTGAGCTGGCAACATCGTCTCCAGTAGTTCATTTCCATGGCCTTAATTTTTGATTTGTTTCTTTGGTTTATTTCCCAGAGTTCGGCGCCATACAGTCCAATACTTTCTATTATAGTTTTATAAATTCTTCTTTTATTTTCTTTTGTTATTTTTTTATTCCATAATAGTCCGTGTAGCTGTCTGGTGGCTGATCTTGCTTGGCCAATCCTGGAATGTATTTCTTCGTTACTTCCTGCTTTTGATGTTATTTGGACTCCCAAGTACTTAAAATTGTCTGTTGGTTTTATAGTTCCCATTTCGATTTGTAGGCTTTCTGGTTTTTCTCCTACAACTAAGTACTCAGTTTTTTGTATATTAATTGTGAGGCCCCATTTGGTGTACTCATCTTCCAGTTTTCTAAGCATGTAGCTTATATCACTCTCGTCTTCAGCTAGAATGGCTTGGTCGTCAGCGAAATGTATCGTGTACAATCTATCATCTCCGATTGCGATGCCCATATTGCAGCACTTTCTTCTCCACAGTGAGAGTGCCTCATTTAGATATATTTTGAAGAGTGTAGGTGCTATGCAGCAGCCTTGCTTTAGGCCCTTACTAATAGGAATTTCTCTAGTTAATCTATTTCCAGTTATAATGTTTGCCGTCATATTTTTGTAGAGTTGTTGTACTGCCTGTATATTTTTTTTGCTTATTCCTTATTTTTCCATTGCTACCCAAAGCATTAAAAGTGGTACACTATCGTATGCCTTTGTCATATCTATAAAGACTATATGAGTTGAAAGGTTGTGGGCTAATCTTTTCTCGATAACTTGCTTTAGAGAGAATATACTGTCCATGCAGGATCTGCCTGCACGAAAGCCATTCTGTTCTTCTACATCTGTCATCTCTTTTTCAATTTTATTTTTTATTATTTTTCCATACAGTCTTGAGAGTGAATTTATGACACTTAGCCCGCTATAGTTTGAACAATTCTTTCTATCTCCTTTTTTGTGTATGTTGTTAATATGTGCTTTTGTCCACTCCGGTGGTAAGTCGTGTCCATTATAGAATAAGGTGAAGACATACGCCAGTAATTCCCGTAATACTTGTGGGCTATGTTTTAATAATTCATTTGGTATACCTTGTGGTCCGCATGACTTCCCATTTTTTAGAGTTCGTATTGCATTCTCGACTTCCTGTACTGTTATTTCGTCGTCTTCACTTAATTCCAGTTCATATGTTGTTGTACTGATGTTCGTGAATTGAGGTCTTGTTTCAGTCAAAAGTTGTGAGTAGTGTTCGATCCAAGATTTTTCTTCTAATAAATCTATTCTACTCGTTTCTTAGGTTTTTCGAAGTTTTTTACTTCTCTGTTTGATCTTGCATATGTTCGTCTATCATCTGGATCATTTGTTTGCAGCCACTTTTGATATGCTTGTTTCTTGTTGTGTACTGCATTGGCGATGTCATTTGTCCACTACAATGGAGTATTCTTTTTGTTCTTTTGGATTGTGCCGAGCGCTTCGTAAGCTGCTTCATTGATTTTATTGATTATCTCTTTATAGGTATCTCTTTTTCTGTGAATCCTTTAATTCTGACAGTTAATAAACCCTGTGGTCTTCTAAACGTTAGTTCAAGATGCCTCTTTAAAAATGAACGCAACCATTTGGAACCTCCTTTTTTCTGATTAGGGGAGAGTCATACAGTACCGTCACCTTAAGGTTTATCAACAAAAAAATCAA